GGGGGGGGGGGGGGGGGGGTATACTAAAATCAAGAAAAAACAAGATCCAAAATATTTTATTTTTTGAACTTTTCTCGCAATTACGGCACCATAGGACGTAGGTGTCGTTTTCACTTTTCTGTGGGCACCCTTGGTGCTCCTATAGCAAATCACGTGCGATCAAAGTGCCAAGCATTCGTTAAATATGATCAAGGTTTGTAACAACATGATCTCTTGGACCACTCATCAACGCCTGCTCTGCAAACAATCCCCCGAAATGAATCTGTGTGTCGTTTCCTCTCTTTTGAAGACACCGGCAGCAGCGATGGCAACAGCGGCATTAGCGCCACACTCGAGATATTTATCGGGGTCGCGTCGACGGTTGCAAGCGCAGTGATTTTGGGAGCCGCCAAGATTATATTTTCGAGAAGACAACCGGCAGACGCCGCTTAAGTAAACCCTTCAGGCGGTCGATCAAACCATCCGGATGCTTCGGATAGCTGGTTGAGGGTCGGTCTAGTAGATGATGCTTTGCACGGCAACAGGTGCACATCATGGGGAACAGCAGTGCTACGGGGACGGGGATGGCTTGTAAAACGTTGAAGGCCCGTGTACGGGTGTCTGCTTCGCTCGTTCCGCTGAAGATTGGCTGCTTGTCGTATTCGCCATTTCCGCGTCGAATTCTGTTTTTGGTGGTTCCTGTTGTATATTTGCTCTTGGCCTAGGATCATTTAGCGTATTGGATTTCTTGGATGAAGCCTCCAGCCGGTCTACGGTCCCACCCAGCTTTCCTTGTCGTGTCTTCTAGGCGACCACTGACCTGGAGCCTGGTTGAATCACCCAAGCTTTCGTGACCTTGGGGGATGGGAATAAATCCTCAGAGATTGACAACAGGCGCCGTCGTCTGTCGAGGCGCATGATTACCCCATCACCTCCAGGGCACCAGCGTGGGCATCCCCCAACCCACCTTCGTCGCCGTAAAGCCTTCTGAGGTGATTCCACAGTAGTCTACCGGAGGCAATGGATAACCTCGCAGATGGAGCCCGACACGAGCTAGCAGGTGAACAAGCCGCCTGACGTTCGAAGGGTGGCTCTCCTCAATCAGCGCTTAGGGCCCCCTTTTTGTCACGTGTCACGGAAATCAGGGGATGGGGTTTCAGAACAGGATCTCAGGTTGAAACCCGATTTCTGTAGTGTTTTGTCTTGGTCAGGGCTCCGTTTTTGTCACGTGTCACGGAAATCAGCGGATGGGGGTTCAAAACAGGATCTTAGGTTGAAACCCGATTTCTGTAGTGTATGCCTTGGCTATCTAGGGGTCATCCCACATTCCCAGGGCTCGCCGGGGGTGCCCTGGGGGTCTCCCTGGGGTTCAACATTTTCATCCAGGGATTGAAAGGTAGAGTCGCATTTGTTGGCACGCGTGTTGGAACACTTGCTGGCAAGCCATAATATCGTCAATTCTCACCTAAATTACTCATTTTCAACACATACATACTTGATCACTGGTTCACGCGGCATATGCATCGGTAATGCCCGGGGATTTAGACTTGTCCACCAAGGACAGGCCTTTGTAGGTACAATATCGCAAAGTATCTTGGGGGTGAACCAGAGGCTACTTGAAGCAGCAAAATAGCCGCAGGAAGGATGTTTCGATAATGATTTCGCCAACTCTAGACCGTTGCCCCTCCCCACATGTGGTGGTATGCACGCGTGATGAAGTCTGGTTGACCCGTAAAGAAGAACTCACTTGTTATTACTCTTGCAGAACAGCAGCAGCAGTAGCTGTTGCCTTGGGTATCGGTAGGAATGACACCAAGGGGCGCAGGATCCTCAGTACAAGCAGGGGCTACTTGATCCTGTCCCCTGTTTTATCCTTCCACGGGGAGTTACATCTCTCCGCGCCTTCTAGAAGGAACCATTCTCTTCTATGTTCCGTCTACACGTCTGAATCCTATAACACTAGCCCACCCTGGAGGTTCTCATACGCAGATACTGTAAAACCTCGGAGTCTTGGCAAGCAATTGCCGAGTCTCTAAATGAAAGTATCGAGGATGTGGAGCTCCAAAACAGCACAATTCACCCTCCCACACCTCTCACTCGATGGGTCGCAAGACCATCGTTTGGCTTCTAAACAGCAAGAAGACACCGAAAGGAATTGACGGGGCTAAGAAAAGCTGATGACGACCGGAACAAGGTCGAAGCCGAAGAAAGGAAAACACGAAGAAAGTACGAAAACCAGAAGAAAAACAAAGGTCGTCAGAACGACAGAAAGAAAGGATCACCGAAACGGAACGATTATTCAGACCGGTATCGAACCCCCCCCCCGAGAAGATACGCCACTCACGCAGTCGCCACGGTAGCGAATTAGCGACAACAATGAGCGCGAACCACCTACAGGTCGTGACCAAACGCGAAAGGCACTAAAGAAAGCGAGGAGAAAGGGAAAACCAACCAAGGCTAAATACAATCCAAACAGTGCTAAAAGCAGACCCAAAAATGCGAAAAGCAACAGAAGGCACAGACAACCAAGCATGTCGTCTTAATGGGGGCGCGCAACGTCATCAGGCAACGAATCAGTCCCAGGGTCACTACGCGACATGTCGACGTTGCGAAGGATTCCCTTAAAAAGGGCGCTGACGCTGTGAACTTGGAGGCACCAGGATCCGGAGACGGCGGTTTCGGCGGTGGAGTAGCGAACTTCAGGAAGGGCGAGCTTGACAGGTCCAGGATCGTCTAAGAAGCGGACGACGTAGAAGTCGGACTGTAGAGGCGGTCCAGTAATCTTGCCCAACCACCAGAAGCCATCGCGCGCTTTGTACCAGAAGAAGGCGCCTGCAGGTAGCGGAGTATTGGCGAAGCGACGGTCCCATGTTGAACGAGAGACGAGCGAATAGCCCGAAGGCAAGGCTCGCTCACCTAGCGCCATCTCGCGGGTGGCCGCACCACCGTCCAATACCGGAGAATGTGTGTCTTGGAATGCTGGAGGTCCATCTCACGTTCCCAAGAAGGACGAAGAGGACCTTTCCAATGCGTTTGGTATAAGACAGCGATGGTGCACCACGAACAGACTGATGGCCACTAATGCGGTCAACCTCGAGACGTTCGACCGGAGTCGACACGTCGTCTTCCGTAACATGGTAGGGAGGAGATTTATTCGCATAGGAGTTCAGCACATACGGTGTAAGGCCGGCAGGTAGGAACCGAGGCAAGTCTTCAGTGTCATGTGCATTAGCGCAAGGCTTGCAACGCGCAACCGATACACGGTTTTTCGAGTCTGGACCCGGCAGATCCGATAGAAGATCCAAATAGAGTAGCTTCGAAGCCAGAGGACAACGGTCGGGGGCGTCAGGACACGGACCCACGGCCAAGGTCTTGAACGGGCCACTCTAGAGGAAAGACAACTTAGCCTTGAGAACCTTGTCATCCGTGCCTGAACAAACCCATCCACCGACGGTGTAAGAGGGAACCTTGCGCAAAGCATCCGATAGAGCGGAGTTACGCCGCTCAATCCGCGAAACGGATAGGTTGTGCTGTTCACGGAACTAAATCGTAAGAACGACGTTGGCGATCAGCAGCAAGATCGCAATACTCAAGTTGATCGCGACGCAATCTTTGGTGACCTCGAGCATATGGATGCTCAAAAACCGTCATCGGCATGCGTGGCAGTCGGTTCATATGCACCTCGTTGGGCGCCAAACCAGTAGCGGCACAAACCGAATTGTTGTAGGCAAACTCATTGACGACCAGATCGGTCACATTCCGCCGTATCGATCGGAAGGCGAGAGAAGAAATCAGCGTTGCCATTTGCGGAACCCTTGCGACACTCGAGAGTGTATTTGTAGGCGGTAAGAAATTCGAGCCAACGCTGAACGCGGGCTTTGTTCTCCCCACCTTGGCAAAATGCTCAAGAGACTTGTGGTCGGTAAAAATGCGAAATTTCTTACCCCACAAATAACCGCGAAGTCGTTTGATACACCACACGATATGCTACCCGCCTCGAGGTCGAGGGGAGTCCAATGACGTTCGGAGTCCAAAGTAGCTCGGCTGATGAAAATGATGGGTCGGATGGAGCCATCCGGCTGTTCTTGTTCGAGAGTCCCGCCGAACCCACACAGGTGGCCCAGGTGCACATTATATGCACCATTGTACAATGCCGAAAAAAAAGCACTCTATCTTCAGTTAAAACAACGTCCCAGGTTGCTGACCCCGGTGGCATAACCTGGTCAGGTTGCTTACCCCCGTGGCATAACCTGGCCGGGCCAGGTAAGCACACACAGCATAACCTCGTGGGTTAGAGAAAGCCTTGGCTCACAACGTCGCCAGATTGTGCCCTCTCATCATGCAACGTTGTTCTGCCCCTCGGGACAAACGTTCGCAGCCGGAAAACAAGTACCAGGTTTGTGTTCTTTTGTATTAATTCGTCGGTCGTTAATAATGCGTTAGCGCGTAGTTGCACATATGCAGGTTCCCGTGCGTCAACACCGTGATGACGTACAAAAATAAATAATATGCATACCTAGCCCCACACAGCCATGAGCGGCTCCACACAAGTTTTTCGACCGGCTCACCACTTCTCGACCTCCCGCACAAACAAGCAATTGCACCAAGGAAGCCAAGAGAACAACAAAAGTTCGTTTTACTAAAGTCGGTACGAGTGAGGAAACACGCCCCCGTAGAAACTTCTCCGCATATACTATACGGTCCGGAGATTGACCGACTACCCAAGAAAAAAAAAAAAACACAGCAGTTGGCCTTTGACAAAACGACCTCAATCGTGCCCCTTCGGCGACGTGTGAGCACGTCACAGATGCCAGCGAATCGAAAAAAACGGCGGTCGCTAACGCGGGCTTCAAGTCACCGCCCGAGGTTGAAGCTTTCAACAACCGTTAACAACCTTAATGATGGAGCCCCCCCCCCCCCCAGCCGCCCTCCCTGGCCCAGTTTTCCCCAACTCACCCAGGGTCCACACAAAATCCCGACCAACCTGTACCACCCGAACAATTGGACTTTCCGCAACGCAAACAAGCAACGGCGCAGGCCATCGTCAACACCCATTCCGTCCGCACATTCGATATAGTCTGGATATTGACCGAAAACACAAAAAGCATAGGGCGTATACATGCTCCCCTTCCCCACCCGTCGACAAAAAGTGCCGCGACGGTAGCGCCAGACCGATGCCAGAGAACCGAAGAAACACACGCCGGTCGTCTCGCCGGCCTTTTGAAGGAGATGTTCGCCACGCCGTTGTCGCGCTGACGTTAACTCTTCCCTCACGTGACTGAAAAACATACAGGCAGTTCAACACAAGCAAACCGGGGACGGTGTCATCGATCGGCCCATTTGGTTTTGAGTAGAAACGACAGGGTTTTACAGACGGTCGGCCGATCACCGTGAACAAAAGTGTCGATTAAGGGCTTGGCCTTGGGCTACCAAAGAACTCGGGAAGTTCAAAC